ATCTAATGAGAAAACTGTCAATTATGCCACCGTCGGATGAATAGTTAGTAATCCTAAAGCGTCGATGGTTCAAGGGCCGAAATATTTGATACGGACGCAAAAAAGACGCTGCCAAAGGAAAAAGTTGGCGGAAAAGTTTCAAAATGAACAAATGCTAGAAAAATCAAATAATTAGCCAAAACATTTGGTCTGAGGAGGTGAGAAAACAAGTTGTAGCAAGAGAAAAGGGTGGTGGCGAGAGAATCTTAACATGTCATTAGCTGCCATGAGCGAAAAATAGTACAATCTGCTTGCCAAATGGGCCGCTTGGTGGCAGCGAGTGGATCTAAACAAGTCACGAGTTTCTATAGGCGAAAAGAATTCAACTTGGTCACCAAACGGGCTACGGCGAAAAAAAAAAAAAAAAAAAGGGCGACAATGAGAGGATCTGAGCAAATCACGAGTCACCATAAGCAAAAAGAAGTTCAACTTGCTTGCCAAATTTTCAAAATGAAAGCAGATCAAGTTTATGAGTCGTTGTCAAAGCGATCATGCGAAAAATGGGTTTTAATTAGTGCTCGATCGTTGAAAACCCAATCGCCGATCAAAAAATCGATACCAATCAGTCCCAGACTTTTGGTTAGACATTCTAATGCTCCCAAAAAGTTTGGAGAAGTGGCGATTCATGAAAGTAGTAAATGAATAAAGGAAAAAGATAAACGGGTAGGTGGGACGTCACACAAGAAATTGGCAATTTGCGTTATAATGAGCTTGGCGTGGAATGCATTCTAAACCCAGTTGGCTTTGAAATAAGGCTGTGGATTTAGCGACGGACAGACCAAGCAAAGATTCAATGATGTCGTTCGAGCAAGGAAAAAATAGATGACTTGAGTTGTTCCTCAAGCTTTGAGGATATCGCTAACGCTCGAGGATCAAGATACATTGCTGAAAATAAACCTTGGCGATATGATGGAACAAGCTGGATTTGCGCCCAACTTTTTGATCTTAATCACTTGCGGTTAAAAGGCTTCACTCACCGATGTTGTGATTACTCTTCCAAGGGAAAGTTGACAAGAAAGCTGGCTGAGCATTTATTGCCGATTACAATAGATTGTCGACCGCACATACTGCTGTCCATGATGTCTAATTTGGAGTTGAGAAGTGAGTAAATGATGAGTTTGGAACTAATAGCATTAGTTGCTATACAGAGTTGGCATCGAATGTTGTCGCCAACTTTAGCTAGGCATTTTTTTGGAATGGTTGGTTGCCAAGTCAATCCAATAAATAGAAACTTATTGCGGCAAGCTATTATCTTTTGTGGCAACTCAATCGGCTTTTTTCTTTGGCGATTTAGGTATGTATATTTCACAAAATGTATTTCATTCTAATATTCAATATTTTTTGAAATATAGGGGGGCATTATGTTGTCACACAAAAATAAATTCTATTGACAATAGTGGATCGCTAATGTTGAAAGATGTCAATTGATTGGATCAAGTCAACTTAGATTAATGACCAATGTATACAAGTGCGGAAAATCATGGTCCAACCCAATCGATTATTCATGGAGCTCAATGATTGATCGATAAATTAATTGGTCGATATTTTTATTCAACCCAATGGATTAATTGGCCATTATCTTAAATCTTATGAAAAGAGTAAGTGGTCATTAATCGATCAATTATGTGGCAAAATTAGTGGCCAGTAATCGGTTAACGAAATTATCGAAAAATTCGTTAGAATGCGACACAACTGGAATTTTTAGTAAAAATTGAATTTTCGGTAGATGGAGAAAAATAGAAAAATATATATCTATCTTTTCTATATTTGATTTGAATTTTAGAAGGAGATAGTAGCCCTAAATGAAGACAATAATTGGTGAACATTTCGGAGAGTTGAATACGAACTTTACGGAATGACAAATGATGACTTTTGGTCATGAAAGAAGCAAGCCGAGAAAGGTGGGGAGTTTTTATCATTTCATTTCCTTTGTGTTTTCTTTTTTTGTCTTTTGGTTTTTTAAAATAATGTAATTTGATCTTGAACGTCTTTTCTTTGATTTTTTTTGTATTATTTATTCATAAATTTATCGCATATCACCACGGATTCACATCGAATCATCCGAGAGCCCACCAATCCTCTCTGCGAAAAGTTTTAGGCCGAAAACCAACAATATTTTAATGACATTTCCAAAAGAAAAGGTAAAAATAAAATTAAATAACATAAAAATTATAAAATATAATTAAAAAAAAAGAGTAAACGATACATGTGCTACATCACATGTAAGGACTAGTATATATATATATATATATATAAAAGGAGACAGTATGATAGCAATTGAATATTAACAAATATTGTACTATTAAATTAAACTATGAAGAAACCCTTGTTGTATTTGTGAAACTTCGATTGCTACATAAATTTTTTTATAATACAAATAAATAAAAATTTAAAAATATATATATATAAATATAATATAAATTTATAATTAAATTATACAAATTACTATATATTTATATTATTATATTCATATCCATCAAATCAATACACATCAAAACTCCTCAAATTTCAACTAAATTCAAACCCAAAAGAAACATAAAAATTCAAACTCATCTCAAAATTCAAATAAAAACCAAATTCAAACCCAAATTTCCCCGAAACCTCCAAAAGAAACACACCGCAAGGTATGAACACATAATAATAATAATAATAATAATAATAATAATAATAATAATAATAATAATAATAATAATAATATCAATAATAATATCAATAATTTGTATAAACGTCTAATTTTAAACAGGTACGAATCTATATGACACTCTTAATTATCTAAACAACACATTGTACTCATGTAATGTATTTAATTGAAAAAAAAAAAAAAAAAAGAACTTATCAAAATTAATAAAATGCTATAGAGTGCTTGATGTTTTGTTTAGTATCCGAATTAAAGATTTTAATATTTTTAGGTGAAATAATTTATTGATATAATATCTTGTATAAAAATTAATTAATTAATTTCAACAGTAAATTGTTTCCCTTTTGTTTTTTTGTTTTTTTTTTTAAAAAAAGATATTAACTAATAAAAAATGACTTGAGGATTTATAAAACTCTAATAATTATGATAATAAACGTCCCAAAAAGAAGTGTCTTATTGGGAGTTGGCACGGGAATTGAGAAATAATAATATTTAATTAAAAGTGGGTATAAAGTAAAATGTAAATGACTAAAATGCTCTTATTTTTTAAGAATTTTAAAGAATAGGTTAGAATAATAATTAGGGATAATTTGAAAATATATAAATAGTTTTATTATAAAGTGGGAACTATGATTATTAAATAAGAAAACAAGACAATTATTGAATCGAACAAAAATAAAAAAACAACGACAACTTTTTGGGACCGAGGAGTAATCCTCTATTTAAAAGTGAACTTTTGTTATAATGTTGAGTTGACTACTTCCACTAAGCACATTCATAACTCAACCTCTTTAACTCAATTTTCTCAAATTTTATTGAACTCTTTTATTTTTTATTTTTTTCAAAAATTGTAATTTTTAAAAATAGAATATTTATATTTGGGAAAATAAAATTTTGAAAAATTGTATTTGTTTTTTGAGATAGTATAAAAGAATATTTTGTATGTAAGTTATAGAAAATTATATAGATAATATTAAAATAATAAAAATATACTCCTGAGTCTCATATTTATTTATTAATTTATTTTTTGCACGACGTTTTAGAAATATTAGTATTATATTGGGATTTAGTAAAAATAGAGGTAAAAAGACAGTAATGACATTTGTGTAATATATTGTAAATTAGAAGAGTATTTGTAATGTTATATATAATAAAATTACTAAAAAAAATTGATACTTTGTTATGGGACAGACCAAAATAAAAAAATAAATAAATTATTAATGGACGAATGGAGTATAATATATTTGTTACGTACAAAAAAAAAAAAAAAATAATAATAATAATAATAATAATAATAATAATAATAATAATAAAAATAAGGATAGCAGTATCTTAAAGGAAGTTAGACACGAAGTCGGGTGGAAAAGGAGAAAAATTTGCGCTCAGGTCGGTTGGTCCTCGGTCGGTTGGTCTGGTCGGTTGGTCTGGTCGGTTGGTTCGCAGGTCGGAAGGTCCGCAGGTCGGATAGTCTGCGAGTCGGACGGTCTACAGGTCGGACGGTCCGCAGGTCGGATAGTCAGCAGATCGGATCAATAAGTCGGATGGTTTGCAGTCGGATGGTTTGTAGTCGGTTGGTCCATGGTCGGACCAATTAAAGTCGGGCGAAGAAGAATGAGACTGACGATTCGAGGTTGCTTGATGGGGCGGCCAATGAGTCGTTTGGTCTGGCGATCATCAGTTAGTCTCTAGATTGGTCGGCTGGGTATGCGGTTGGCCAGATGGGTGAAGACACGTGTCGACAGAGGGAGACCTTGTGGACGGGTGCCGTAACCGTCCAGACGATGATTCAAAATGTTTCATTGTGGGCGGTTGACGGCGGTTGCTAGCGACGGTTCTGAAACGTCTTTTCAGGGAATATATAAGGATTTAGATTTTTCTTCTTCAATTATTTTCAATCATCTTCAAATGACATCAAAGTCAAGAGATTTAGGATCACCACTTTAAATTCCAGTCTTTTATTTTCTAATTTTTATTTATGTATCTGTTGTACAGTATTTAGAAATTTCTAAACTCATGTACAAATTAATCAAGTTTGAAGATAAATTTCTATTTTCAGATTTTATTTTTTGTTTGTTGAAAAAATACATCAACAACAGTATTAATGTTTTTTGAAAAAAGATTTTATTTTTTATTTTTTATTGACAAAAAAAACACTCACTATCAAACCGCAGACTTTGTAGAGTTAATTATTAGGACAGGTAGCGATGAACTGTCCAATTAAAGAATAATATAATTAATATTAATGCCCATTGTGTGCATGAGCGAGCGGTTCCTATAAAAAAGCAATTACCAAGTTTGTCTTTTTAAGCAAAGAGAACATATACATATATTACAGATCCATCCATCCATTAATCTTTAATTAATTTATTTTCCGATGGCACAGTCAACGGCGATGGTCGGCGGCGCCGGCGCCAACAGCTATGCTAACAACTCCACTGCACAGGTTTTCATTTCATTTCATTTTATTTTATTTACATCCTAATTAATTAATTAATTTCATACAAATATTGATTTCATTTTCACTAAATAGCTTCATATATGTATGTAGTTTGTTTAGATCGATTTTGGTATATGTTTTGGATTTGAAACATTTTGAGACGAAAGGAATAAGACAACGATGGTATACATATATAGAGTGTGTTTGGGTTTATCATCATTTTTCAACGGTAAGTTTTTCAATAAAAAATAAAATATTTTTATCATAAAATACTACAGTACCTTCGTCGGCCTCTAAGGGTCTCATTTACTTTTTGCGTGTTGATATTTGAATATTAATTATTATATCAAAACGTAGTACAAATTAAGAAAAAAATGCAAAAATACTTTCATTAGTATCTTATAATACTAATAGAATGACATTTGTACAAAAAATTATACAAATATAAGGATATTTTTAATATTAAGTACAATGACACAAAAGGTAAATGTGACCCTCGGAGGCGGATGGAGAGAGTATTAGAATAATATTTTAATCAAAACTAAAATTCAAATCAAAACTATAAGTTTTATTGCCTGTTATGTAGAGAGATGCTGTAACTACTGCAAAAGAAGCCATGGCCGAGGCGCTCATTGAAGTCTTGGACATTTCGGCATTCTTATCAAATGGATCGAAAAACTTAGTTACCATTGCCGACTTAGGATGCTCTGTTGGACCGAACACACACATCGCCATGCAAACAATAATCGACATAGTCACCACAAAATGCCACTTACAAGGGATCGACCCAAAAACTATTGAATTCCAAGTATTATTTAATGACCAAAACACCAATGACTTCAACACACTGTTTGCCTCCATGTCTGGTGATAAAAACTACTTTGCAGCCGGAGTTCCTGGTTCTTTCTACGATAGATTGTTCCCTACTTCCTCCATCCACATTGCATACTCTGCATCTTCACTTCATTGGTTGTCGAGGGTGCCCGAGGAGTTGGAAGATGAAAATTCTCCGGCCTGGAATAAGGGTAGGATTCACTACACGAATGCCCCCGAGCCAGTTGTAAAAGCATATGCTAAGCAATATGAAAAGGACATTGATGCGTTCTTGAGGGCACGAGCGAAGGAGATGGTGCCGGGAGGAGTGATCGTGATGTTGATGCCCGGTGTGTGCGACGGTGTTCTCAGACATGATATTGGTGTATCTATTGATTTCCTTGGATCCATCCTCATGGACATGGTTAAAGAGGTACAAGTTTTGTTAATTAATTATTTATAATTAGGTCGAGAATTTTTTGCTGATTAGATAATAATAATAATAGATAATAGATAATATATGCTTCTACGTAATCCTCATCATATATTCTGTTGTAATACATTATATGTTGTGTTATAATACTAACATATGGTGTATTATAAATATGATATATTATGTATAATATATATTATCTACCTTATTATATAGCTAATTTTATTCAATTGAAAAGGAGATTCATCTTTATCAATCTAATAATTTTTCAATAATTGTTAATTGCAATTAATTGAAGAAGATTCTTAGAATTAATAAAATTAATCTTTTGTTATTTTTATCAGATTGTTATTTATACGTTTCATTTGAAGAAGTCTTTTAAGAACTTTGTACAAAATAAATATAATAACTTTATTTAATGAAGTTAGTGTGTATGTGTATATGGTATTTTCAAAATTAATTTTATATTTTTAAAAATTGTAGAGTCTATGGGTTATTTGTTTTTATAAAATAAATTGGTTTTGTTAAAAGAAAATAATAGTAACAAATATAAAATAGGTTTATAATCTAATTTGATTTTAATAAATACTTGATTTATTGTTTTAAATATATTATACATATTTATATAATATTTTAAATAAAGATATAGCTGTTGGTATAGTGATTAAAAATGATGGTTGTTTTGACTAATACATGATTGAAAGTTTGTCAGCTTATAAAAGTCAAATGAAGATACTAAATAGACCACTATATAATCTAATATATATATATATTGATTTTGTATCACCAGGTGTCTTCATGTGGATTTTTTTTTTTCTTTAATTTTTAGATGGTGGGTTCCACCACAAATATAATATTTTTTAAAAAATTTTAGGTAGTGAATCCTACCACAAGTATAATATATAATTAGATTACATTTGATTTTCTTAATTAATTAAACGTCTTTAAATGTTACTCTATCCGTTCATTTTTTATTGTCCTAAAATATATTTGCACGTTTTTTTAGATAATTATTTTTAAATGCAAAATATGAGATAACTAAAAAAATAAATTGAGGATATTATAGTGAAGTAAGTAGAAAAATTGTCACAAATTTTATTATTATTTGTTTAAATAAGGATAATAAAATTGTGAATGGATAAATTTTAATTATCAATAAATTATGCATAAGTTTGACGGATAAAAAATGTGACATAATTATTTTGATTTGAGAAAGTATTTTATAATTTATTATATTAAAATGACAGTAAAAATTTAATGAAATTTGACTTTTGTTTTGTTCAGATATCTTAAATTTTTTATCGACATAATTTTCAACTAAATTATAATTTTTAAAATTGCCTATAAAAATGTGAATAGATACCACTAAATTATATATAGACATTATTTTTGCAATATATATTTAATCGATAAAATCTATTAATTTTTAATATTTAAAATACTAAAAAATTAATCGTGTAAAATATTTTAATTTATTCAAATAATTTTTATATTAAAACTTTATATATATTTAATAACAACAATTAATTTTAATAATTTAATAAAATTTATAACTACCCGTGTATAGCAGGCTTCACTCTATTATTAGATAGACAGAAAAGTTACTAATTATAATGTATATATATAAAATTCAAAAAACTCTGTACTAGTGAAAGCAATTCCAATCATTGATAATTAAATAAGTTAAATTATTTTTAATTGATTAAAATTATTGAATGATTAAGATTGATTCTTTATATGTTTGATAAATTAATAAAAAATACATATATATAATTTTTTTGGGGATGGGACATAGGTTTTTGTCCCTTTTAATTACATTTGTATTAATTTTAGTTTCTATATTATTAAAATGATGATTTTGATCCATTTATTCATATTTCGATCAATTTTAGTTCTTTAATTTTTAAAATGATAATTTCGATCATTTGTCAATTAATATAGTTCAAATTTAGACTCTAGTTATCATTTTCTCGAAACTTAATAAATATACTAGTTATATTGTATGACAAAGTTATATGTATTGTCATACAATAGACTATTTTTAAAAATAGTTTTACAAAATCTATTCTCCTTATAGTATCTATTAACAATATATGGATATATCATTATATTTAATATCATTCTCCTATCCAAATATATATATATATATATATATTTCAATTTCTTTTACCAACCATTTAATTGATGCAAGCAACTAGCTAGTAATTATGTTGTTTTAGATGAATAATTTTTAAATTAATTATTTAGATTTGTTTTGATAAAACTTGTTTGAAAGAAAATATTTTTAAAAAAAATAATAATATAAATTAATTTAAATAACTAACGGGAATAATATTTTTAAGATAAAAATCATACACTCCCCATAATAAAAAATGGGTTCAGAACTTTTGAGAATGAATTTTAATATTGTGTGAAATTTTTTTACTTATGATTTTTTGTTAAAATTGAAAAAAAAAATTATATTTTTATGTGACAGAGGTAATAATCATTATATTTATTATTTTTTTAAAGAAACAATTATTGAAGACTAAAATTGAATTAATTTAATGAATAAGACACCATAATTGTCATTTAAAAAATCGAAGGACTAAAATTGAATTATTTTAATGAATAATGAAATCAAAATTGTTATGTTAAAAAATAAAGGGACTAAAATTGACATATTAGTAAATATAAAGGATCAAAAATATATTTTACCCATTTCCTTTTTATAACTAAATTATGCTTAAATTTAGACAAATTATTGTAACAAATAGAAAAATATCATATATATTATCTAATCTCATGTATACGTGGATTCCGTGTAGTATATATAAATAGAAATGAACGTGAACTACCATGTTGACTTCCTTACTTTTTATAAAAAAAAAAAAAAAAAAAAAAAAGGGAAAAATTGAAAATAAATTAAATCAAATATCATCATGTGATATATAAAAAGTTTTGGTCTTAAGGGATGGCTGAGATGAACTCGTGACTATAAGGTCAAGAATTTTCATGATATTAGTAAAAAAAAATAGACAAAAGAAAAAATGATTTTATTTAGATATAGATTTTTCTTAATTTTAAAATTTTGAAAAAAAATATTGAAGATATAGCAAAGAGTTGAATATTAAATAAATTGTTTTAAGAAAACTAAATATTTAAGATAATATTTTTAAGGGTAAACTGTTTTTTTTAGTCCCAGACTCCCTTATCATTTTTAGTCCCGTAAGTGGAGTCTGTCGCAAACTAGTCCCATAAGTGAAAAATTTTCCCTGTTTTAGTCCTCCGACGCCGGAGATGCCCGCGTGGCTTGCCGGAGGTGATGTGTCCGCCAGGTCAGCGACAGCTGGCGGACACGTGGAATTTTTTTTTTTTTTTCATTTTTTTAAAATTTTTTTAAAACTTATTTTTAATTTTATTTGTATTTTTTTTATTTTTTTATTTGGTTCAATTAAAAAAATATTAAAAAAATGAAAAATAAATGAAAAAAATAAATAAATCCACGTGTCCGCCAGGTGTCGCTGACCTGGCGGGACACCTGCGGACACGTCACCTCCGGCGAGCCACGCGGGCGTCTCCGGCGCCGGAGGACTAAAACAACGAAAAATTTTCACTTATGGGACTAATTTGCGACAGGCTCCACTTACAGGACTAAAATGATAAGGGAGTCCAGTTACGGGACTAAAAAAACAGTTTACCCTATTTTTAAAAAATTAGTATTAATAAATATGTCAAAATTTTAAAAATGTGTATATAAAGACAACATTCTTTCCTATCAAATACAAATATTTGTATATATATTAATCAGTTTGGTTTTCGTGCCGATTTGGTGAAATCAACACCTAACTCACTCGGAACACATATAATAAGGGAAATAATTCATATTTGATAGTACGTAATAATACAATATACATGACATATTATAATAACACATTATATGATTCTACATAGCATAATATCTTATTGATCTTAACACAATAAAAATGTTTATACAGCACAACATAATATATAAATTAAATAGTGTATGCTTCTATATAACACAACGTTATGTTGTTCTATATAAAAATATGCACTGTTTTCCGCTTTTATTATATGTATTTGCTATATCACATCAACATTTATTTATTTGATCGGACAGCACCTTAACTGCAGCCTATATTAATGACTAGGGGTTTATTTTGATTTATTATTTTGTTCTGAATAGGGAATGTTGAAGCAACATCAAGTGGACTCATTCAACATTCCTCATGTATATCCAAGTATGAAGCAAATGAAAAGGTTTGTGGAGAATAATGGGAGTTTTCGAATAGTGAAAATGGAGTTGCAAAATGCATGGCTGAACAAGGAGGCTCCCATCGACATGGTGACCGCAATAATGCATCTTAGAGCATTCACAGAGATGACCATCGCTAGCCACATGGGCTGTGAAATCATCGAACCCCTTTTTGCAAAGGCTCTTCAGCGCAAACAAAAGCTTTCGGACATGTTGTACGACGCTGGACATAAGATTGGTCTTCGATATTTATTCACTATTTTGCAACGTACGTAACTATATTAGGTTAATACATGCTTTGTTTTTATTCTTCTACTTATATATGCTATATGTTCGTGTGTAGCAAATAAATAAAACATTTAAATGATGTAATCTACTCCCCGTCTACCAAAATTGTACTCAAAACTTTTGGACACGAGGAAAAAAAAAAAAAAAAAAAAGAAAAAAAAGTTTGTATTAAATTAAAAAATAATATTATTTTATTAGTTAGTAGAAATGTGTAAAAAATTTTAATTTTTTTGCCCTTTGATTTTATATTTAAAGTAATTATATATTTGTAATTTAAGTAAAATTTAAAAGTATTTTGATATTACCGTATGATTAGTTTTACTGAAATAGAAAAAATATATTTTTGAGTGGAAAAAATAAAAATAATAAAAATAGTACTTCGAGTTGGGACGGTTAGTATTTTAATATTACTTTTGTACCTTTGTTGAAAAAAAAAATCAGAGTATTATTAAAACTTTTGTGATGTTAATAAAGATATAATATAGATTGGGTGTAAAAAAAGTAATGACATAAATATAAATAAATGTGAAAATAAAGGGTAATTTTTTTTTAAGGTGAATGATATTTTTTTACTAAAAATATTATGAACATATTTTTTGTTGACATACTAAAATAGTAAAATTAGCGTAATTTTGATGGACAGAGGAAGTATAATTTATATGATTCAATAAATTAAATAAATTTATTTTTTATTTATTTTATTATTATTATTAGGCAAAAATGTCTATATCTCCCGTGTGGTTTAGAAATTCGATATTATTTTCTTTTTACTTTAGAAGCTGTGTATGACCCCTTGTGTTTTTAAAAATTTTGCACGTAACCTCCCAAACGTCAATAGTTAACGAAGTATGATATACACGCGCAGATGAAGCGAATATCTTTATGTTTATTTCATTAAAACTACCCAAATTCTCCATTTAATCATTCCATTCCACATAAGTACCTCCAATCTTTGGAACCCCATCGACCTCGTACAAGTGAGACAAACCAACTAGAATTCTTGATGTCGTTCACCCACCAATTTTTAAATGCATATTTGCAGTAGAGATTTATTGGGTAGTATCAAAAGAAGATCGATTTTAATTATTTTTCTTTTCAGTGAATTTTGGTTTTCCCCACATTTTTGTTCATGTATTCTTCGATCTTGAATTTGTCTTTGATTTTGCTCGACGTTCTTTGTACCTGAAATTTGTTTTTCGCACATGGGGTATAATTTGTCTTTGAAATAGTTAATTTTTTTAATCGAGTTTGAAAGTTTATTTTTTTAATTCAAATTCACCCTTGATTTTGCTCGACGTTCTTTGTACCTGAAATTTGTTTTTCGCACATGGGGTATAATTTGTCTTTGAAATAGTTAATTTTTTTAATCGAGTTTGAAAGTTTATTTTTTTAATTCAAATTCACCCAACATACATGCTCTCAACACATCAATTTTTTAATTACTAGGTGATTTTCATTCGATTCGGTGGATTTTTCGAGTTTCTCTAATTTTTAGTGAATTTGCCAACTTACAGATGTCTACAAGTAGTAGTAATTCTCATGCAAAAAAGAACGAGTTTTTATTTGAGGTATAAATGTCAAACGTGCAAATGCGGTGTACTTTCTGCAATACGTATGACGGTCCATGGAAGATACCCAAGGTAAATTATTCTTCAATTGTTGGATCAAGACTTGTGATTTTTCCATTGGCTAGAAATTTTCAACAAAAGCCACCAGAACCACGAAATACATGGAGATGCTGAGGTTGACTATTTAATGTGTTTAATTGATAAATTAAAGAAATTAAGATGGTGAAAGGTCACATCGTTGCCGATTTGAAGATGGTGTGACGCATTTTGAGAAACATTTAGATTATTTTTGTTGTTGTCATTGTAATTGCATTTTGAAAAATTGCAGTGTAGTGTTGCTCGTTGGGGTTTAAGTGTTTTAGATAGTGTAGTATTGCTCGTTGGGGTTCCGGTGTTTTAGATGGTGTTGTGTTTCTTGTAGGGGTTTCGGTTGCTACTTTGTGGGTAAAAATTGTGTTGATTGAGTCATGGTTGAAGGAAAAAATTTTGGGTTGATGTAGTTGATGGTCTACATCATGTTGGTCGACATTGTGTTCATGCGTGTTTTTGGTGTACTAGTAAGCATTCTCTTTCACTTATCATCATTTATTGACTTTATTTGGAAGCTTTATGTTCGAATACGTTGGATGTTCTTGTCGTGAAAGCTAATAACAATAATGTATTACCATATGATCAAACAAAAAATATACTAAGCTAGTGCACATTCCAAATGTAGGACCTTTAACCTCTTTACATCAAATTTCATAGAAGTGCACATTCCAAAAAATAATGTAATACGGTGCTACCGTCATGCCGTATTGAACCAACGTTCAAAAGAAAATTACCAAAAGCAATACAGGATAAAACAATGTGTGCAATATAAAACACCACATTACAACAATTTCAAAACGCATATCCTAAAGCAAAAGTAAAGCTGATCATGCACCATGTCCTACAAACACGAAATTCATTTTTCAATTATGAGGCACTACCTTACGATTGCGTGGTATTTTAGAAAATCAAACACTTTTCAGGAGCGCGGCCAAGGACACACTCTTGGAAGATGTTGTTGGCTACTTCCCTTTCTCTTGAGAAGTTGTTCCTCCCTAATTGCCAACACAAAAACAAATACAATGAAAATTGGCACTATAAAACAATTTTAAAGTATATCACATAAGTACATGTTGTGCCTATGATTAAGTTTTTGCAATGGTTCGATCATTCATGGAATCTTTATTTTGCTCACAATTTCTTTTGAAAAACTTATCAACGGTCAATCCAATTGACCAAAATATCTACGATAAAGTTTTTGATATCCCAACCGAGTGAGTCAATACAATACCTGAAAGGAGGCTGGATCGGCCAAATTTTCATAATTGGCTATTGTTTCGGCATTTGAATTCTGCGTAGGCACCTGCGGCAGAAAACATAAATCATCCTAGTCTTTTTATATTAATATTTTGCTTATAGGGATTTTTTACTAGTCTCAAAGAACCTTTTGAGGGAATGAGACGTTCTTGCATCATTTTCTATTATGTTCTTGTTACAAACACTTCGAGCATGTCGTTTCAATCTTTTCCATGAAACTTTCTCCGGGCTCTTCTCGTCATTTTTATCATACCTTCTTCTTTTCTTTGATCTTTCGGTGTGAATATTTATCTTTGAGGTAACAAGCGCAACAAGATGGCTTTCCTCGGACGGGGTTAATACTGTGGTTGTACACCTATTCATACGTCTCCTATCGGAAGCAGATATCCACAAAGTTATCCATATTCAGGCGATTGTGATCGATGCCTATGATGGCATAGTAGCATAGGTACTCACAAATTTGAAACATCCCGCATGTGCAAGTCCTATATTTATTTATTTATTTATTTATAGCAATTTTTGGTATTATTTATATTAATTTATTCCAATAATTGTATTTATTGCAACTTGTGTGTAATATATAAATTTATTAGTTTGTATGTATATTTTATAATTATTTTGATGTATAAATTAATTTAATTGATGTGTTTCTTGAATTATATTTTTAGTCATTATTTATGTGTTATATAAATATTTAATTTTGGCTAATTTAAATAATTAATATTTATAAATTGATGTTTTTATTTAAATGATTAATGATCGAATGTTTACTTTCTATATTAGGTGATTAATGCTTTAAACCTGATCTAGAAGCCCAAATTTGGCCTAAAAAAAAAAAGCTTTTGGAGCGAAATAAACAACAAAGTCAACACCAATGGTGAAAAAGTCAACACAATCGAAAATTTCGTGCATGGAACTGAGGGCAGGAGAATTCTGTGCCTAGAATTGAGCTAAGCAGCGGTTGCAATGATCAGCACGGAAAGCAAACATAATATTTATAAGCATTAATTCTACTTCACTTTCAGCGTAGCGGCGCATTGATGAGCATTAAGTCGGTGAGCATTCAATCAACGCGGAAGTAAGTGGCCGCCACATTAACACAACACAAAAACCAGCAACGCATTTATTCTCGCTGCATTTACTGTTTTAGCATTTATTCTACTGCATTAAACTTATGCACCCCCAGCTGCTGCATTTATTGTCAAATTTCTCCTAATGGCTCCATTTTAAATTCTTGCATTACACCTAGCCAATTTTTAGTTTTTTTTATGTTTTTTTTATTTGAGAACTTTCTAGAATATAAACCGTTATTAGCAGTTATTTTAGAAGAAGTTATTTATAGGTGAAAGTAACCGCCAAACTTTTAAAAGATCTTCTGCCCTATAAATATTCTCTCTCGTTGTATACACATTATTGTACACATAACCCATCATTCCATACATTATATTTTTTCTATTTGTTTTCTCTCATATTTTTATGTAGTTTAATAATACAAGATTTTCAGTTTTGATTCATGAGCAAGCTGATATTTTCCCTCATTTCTTTTAATTTTTGCATTTTGTTTTAGCTAATGAAAGCTCATATCATACTTCTCCACCTCACTTTCACCAAAAAAATTCATGTTTGCACTTGAGTTGTTCAAACTAGACTTTCGACAAGGTTGTGGAAGGGCGGTAGAAGGTTTAACTATCCATGCATATGATCGCGTTGTATTCATTAATAGAGATTTAGGTGGTTTGTAGCAGCTAAGTACGTTGAAGCCTTGTTGACCTGTTTAGTTGTGACCCGAATTTAATCCCGATTAAAAAGATGTATCAGACGGGTAGAATCACTAGCGCAACGGTTGAAAGAATAATTATTTGGACATTGGTGTTTGCCTATCGGTTCAAAAAAATGTCCGGTGACAGCAGTTTTTCATTCAAATAATGTTCTTTCAAATTAGTTATTCAGCCAATATGTAGATTAATTTTTAAAAAAATAATAATAAAATTGGTATTCATTAGCCCTAGTCACGCAATTCATTCTTTCTTCTTCTTTCCTATGCGTCTGCGCGATTCAAGTTTTCAACCATCTTCGTCTTCTTCCTGCGCCTGCCTGACGTTCGCCCGCATCCTCGCCATATTCTTCCCGAGCGTTGTAATTCTTCTTTAATCTTTATTGTTGCCACTCTGCTCTCTTCTCCGTCTTCACAGACTTTAAATTCAAATTTTTAATTTATTTATTTGTTGCTTTTAATTTTAATAGTATTACGATTTTTATAATAATGTATACGGTTGTCAACTTGTCATTTCTTTTTTTAGTGTTTTGTTAATTGGTTTGAAGGGAAAAATAAATAAGGAATTGATGTGGTTTATTGGTTTATGCAGTCAAATTTTGGAGTTGATTGTGTATTTTCTACAAGCATATTTAGATTTGGCGATTTGCACAACTTTGTAAGTTCAACATTTCACTTTCTTTTAATTGATTTTTTCATTTATTAGTTTTTTGGTTGAATTTGAGTGTTATGTGTTATGGGATGATTAGAATTGAAAATTACTTTCAAATTCAATACTTACATAGTTGCACTTTCTTTTAATTGCACAACTTATTTGGTTTAAATTCTAAATTCAATTGGAGCTTATTTTTAAATTTGCTATGTATTAAAGTTATTGGAAGACTTGGTTTGGATCATGGGGTTTGATTTCTTTATTATTTTTTGAATTAGAATTTGAATGTTATGAAAATTTAATTTGATAATAATCTGTAATTTTGATTTGAATGAAAATTTATTATTTAATCAAATTGATGAATTATTTTTATTTTTATTTAGGTATTAAATTATAGATAAATTTTTCATGAAATCAAAGAGGGCAACTCTAAGTTCATATGGACCAATTGATGTGACTAGAAATGATAAGAGGCTTTGAACAAGCTAAGATTCCACTTATATAAGTTGAATTGCCTCCGGAGTATGACATAGCTGGTGATCCAGGATTACGTAAGTCTATTGATATTTATCCTGTCAATATTAGCGATGAATTGAGGGGACGATATTTGGTTAAAAGTCCATATTGACAACATGATTGCAATTTTTCAAAAAGTAGCTCGGGTAAATTTATGAGAATGTTTCAAGTAGCATGATTTGATCAATTTGATTGGCTTGAATATAGTTTAGAAAAAAAAAAAAATGTTGCATTTTGTTTGGTATGCTACTTGTTTAATAAAATTTACAAACATGGTGAAGATACTATTTTTACCCAAGTTGGATTCAAAAATTAGAAACGGGCTTTAGACAAAATTAAAGAGCATGTTAGGGGGTACAATGAGTGCACATCATGGTGCTAAAATCCAAGCTTCGTCATTTAATGATCAAAGAAATAATATTGATTATGTGTTATCTTAAAGAAGTAAGGAAATTGAGCTTGAATACCATGTCCGATTAACAACAGTTGTGAACGTAGTTTGATTGATTTTGCGACAGATTTTGCTTTTCTTGGGCATAATGGCATAAACATCTTTGTAATTGGGTAAATTTTTTGAAATTTTGAATTGGAATTACGAGCATAATGAAGAAGTTAAGAAAATGATGAACTTAAATGCTCCGGAAAATAATCAGTTGACCTCTCTTAAAATTCAGAAGGATATTATTAATGATTGTGCTATGGAAGTGAAAAAAAAAAAAAAAACTATTTTTGAAGAAATTAGAGATAAATTCTTCACAATTTTGATTGAGGAATCTCGAAATAGTTCTGTGAAGGAACAAATGTTTGTAGTTTGAGATATGTGAACAATAGTAGATAAGTGAATTAGCGATTTGTTGGACTAGTACATGTCAGTGACACTACTTCAGACTTCTTGAAAAGTACCATTGATGATTTTTGTGCAAAGAATGGCTTTATCACTTTTTAACCTTAGAGGTCAAGGTTATGGTGGATCTTCTAATATGCGATGTGAGTTTCATAGTCTTAAAGCACTAATTTTAAATGAAAATAATCAAGCATACTATGTCCATTGCTATGCTCACCAACTTCTATTAGTGGTTGTAACAACTTCAAATGATCATGTCGTAGTTAACAACTTTTTTTATCATTTAATTCGTATTGTGAACTTTGTTCGAGCTTCATGTAAAAGAAGAGATGCTATGCGACAAAAACACCACGAAGATCTTGTATGTCGCATTAAGTGTGGTGAAGTTGTTAAAGGAAAAGGGAAAAATAAATAAACAAGTTTGGCTCGTCCAGGTGATACTCGTTGGGGGTCTCATTATAGGACAATAGACTGAATTTTAAAGATGTGGGATGCAGTATAAGATGTTCTTAATAATATTTCAAAGGATGAATCGGATCAAAAAACTTGCGGCACTGCCGCGGGTTTAATTGGTAAAATGATGAGTTTTAAATTTGTTTTCAATGCTCATTTTATATTGAAATTACTAGAAAAAACAAGTATATTGTCAGTGGCCCTTCGAAAAATAAAAAAAAAAAATGTCGTCAGAACATTGGTAATACGGTAGTTTTGATTACAACGTTGAAAGATGACTTAAAGTTGTACAGGGGAGATGGTTGAAATGATTTGTTGGAAACTATAAAAGTATTTTTCTTTGAAAAACCCATTTTTGTACCGAATTTGTAAGATCCTATACCCGATCGGGCACGATTTGAAAGGAAATTTGATGGCCAACCAAAGACTTATTTTAAATTTTTTTAATGAGATATTTTCTTTCAGGAACTTGTATATAAATATATTTTTTTTCTAATTAAACATGTTTTGATCATTTATTTATTTTATAAATATTTAGTTTTTTTTTTGTTCTTTATTACTATGGAAGGTTGTTGATCTCATTGCATAAGAAATTGATAATCATTTTGCGGAATCAAGTTCAGAATTTTTTGCTAGCATTGTATGCCTTGATCCGAGATTCATTTGCTAGCTTTGATGTTGATAAGTTGTTCCGCCTTGCTGAACTATATCCGGAGGATTTTGATGATAAAGTTTTGTTAACATAAGAACTTAAGCAGTACATTGCAATAGTAAAAACATTTGAGACGTGCGTTTTGTTTTCCGATCTTCTGAGTATCGGGAAAAATCTTTCTCGGCAATGAAAATTATTAAGAATGATTTGCATAACAAAATGGGTGATGAGTTTCACACGAATAGTTTACAATGTTATATCAGAAGATAAATTTTTGCAACGTTTTCAGAATATTGACAAATCAAATATTTCATTTGCCTCATGTATAATTTAAGTTGGAACAATATTTAATATAACTTGCATTAGAATTTTTTATTTTTAGTATTTAATATTTACTTTGTACGACGAAACATGTCCCTTACTAGAAATCCTAGTTCCGGCAGTGTGCAGATATACGGTGTAAGTAATACGTGGATGCTACTTATTTTTTGATATGCCACATATTGTATCTTTCATTTGTATATAAATAGGCATACCTTCAATCAATTAATGTAAAAAATACAATCAATTCACTCAATCTCTCTCTCACCCTCCCATCCAGCTATCTCTCTATTGTACTTTCTCTCTCTGCTATATTATAATACATTAATATATAAATATTACACTAATATATACATACATATATATATACTTACCAATATATCATCTTATATTACATAATAAGATATTTTTAGTAGGAATGAAAGGGAAAAAAAACGTTTTAATATGTTATATTAAAAGAAAATTCTCAATACCTCCTTAGATTTAAATTTAAACACTCCTTCCGTCACGATGTAAAGTTGTCATTTACTTTTTTGAAGTAAATTTTTGAATATTAGTATTATAATGAATTATAGTGAAAAAAACAAAAATACTCCTATTAGCATTGTGTAATATAAAAATAATAGCATTTGTGTGATACAGTGTAAGTTGAAAAAATATTTATTATGCTAGATAAGTAGTACAATTACTAAATTAGAAAATGGTAACCTTGTTTGAAGACGAACGAAAATGAAAAATAGCAAACTTTTAGTGAGACGGAAGAAGTATTTGGACTTAAATTTTAGCGGAAGAAAAAGAACTTTAATTTGTTATACATAGAAAAAAATTCAAAAGCTCCTTAAAATTAGGATAAATTATTTCATTGTACTTTAGTAAAAATTGCATTGCGTAAAACCTCTTGTGTTAAAATAAAATTTGCACGAGGAGGTATTATATAACTTACCTTTAAAAATATCATAATTGTCCCACAACAAAAAGGAATTCCCATCATCTAACTACTACTCGACTTGAAAAATAATCAAAAGTAGAAAGAAACTAAAAACTTAAGAGCTACTTGTGCATCCCCAAACTTTCCATTGTGAAAGCTTACTGCAATTATGAATTGTTTACACATACATACAAACAGACACCCAAAAATAAAAACAATTGGGGGTGGATTGAATCAAACAAAACAAACACTACAACCATCTCTGCAAATTTCTCAATCCAAATTTCATGTATGTTATGTATGTATGCATGCATGTATCTATGTTACCCCCCTACCACAAGACCACCTACCTACTACCTTCTTGGCAAATAAGAGTTAAGTTGAGAAAACAGAGGGAGGAAGAGGAGGAACTCGGAATTTTATTTGCAGTTAAGTTCAATTGTTACCGGATTGTCATCGACTAACCTTCTGCTTCTTCTTAGCTGATCTCATTCTTTCCCGTCTTTCCTCTTCTTCAATCAATCGCAGCTGTTCTTCATCTTCCTTTCGAGCGATTTTTGCACTAAAAAAAACCAAAGCAGGGCAGCAAGATTTTAATATCACGCGTCTTTAAAAAATGTTGTAACAGTAACTATATAAAGAGAAACTAATACAAGAATAGTTGACACTTAAATGGCAAACGACCAAAGACCTAAGAGTGAGTAAACAATGAATTTCCGAAGTATAACTAAGCACAAAAAAAGGAACCATAAATCCAAATAAAAGTTTTTATCCTAATATGTTGATACACACAAAAAATTTGAACAATTGAACTGACCTTCGTTTTTCCTCCCTCATAATATCATCAAAACCGGCCTCCATGTCGCTAACATCATCATCATCTCGGAATTTGTTAGGATTATACCTACAAAACAAAAAATAACGAGAAAGTGAGCTCCGACACTGTGGAAATATAGTGATCTAATGCTTTCGGGTTTTAGATATAAATAATTACCCAAACATCTTTCTGATCATATTTATGGCATTTTCATCGTCAGAATCATCGTCAAGCCTCCTCTTAGGTTTCGGTTTGGGCCTCTCTTCATGTCGAGGAGCCGAAGGTTTCGTAAGTGGTCTCCTCATCTGCTGTAGCCACATAGTATAAGCAACTTAAATCTACAAAACGGAGTTTACAAGCTAGAATTTTAAGAAGCTAACAAATAATGACGATAGTTCGTACCTGATCTCTAGAAGGCGGCAATGGCTGTTTGGTCAAGGCCTTTGGCCTGCTCGTTTCATGATACTCCTTTCTTTGTACTGATGATTTATTCACAACAGAGGACTGGCCACGAGGAGGACTCCGTCTTTGCAAGCCATGCTGCAATTGCGACGACGGTTGTCTACGAACAGCAGCATGTTGTTGGGATGAAGGGATTGGCCTCTGTGAACCAGCCACAGTGTGTTTGGCAACTGGAGGGGTGACCTTCCTTGTAGCAGGTACAGAAGTCTTCGAAGGAGCACCTTTGGGGGGCAATGGCCGACCGGGCCCGCTTCCATTATTGTTAACCAACTGCTGCTTCCTAGGTTCTACTGGTAACTTGCCATTAGATCTCTGCATCCCGACTTTAGGCTTGTTTTGGATGCTTGGAACCATTGGTTTCCTTACGTCACGAGAATGAGAGGCGTGAGGAATTTCTCTTCCACGATCATTGACAAACTGTTTTGTTTTTGGCGGAACTTGAGCAGGTCGTGCATCTTCAACGCCACCAAAAAACCTGTATAAGTTTCCTCAATAAAAATATAACTGCATCGAATAGTTGTGGTAACAAACCAGAGAGCATAGAGCAGATTCACACCAGACTTGGGGGTCGATACAGTTCTAGGAGGAGGATTTTTAGAGGGGGCAGGAAAATCTGCATCTTCAGATAATAGAAATGAATAGTCCCTTGTATCTTTTAGCATTTGGACTTTTTTCTTCACCTGCATCAACGATTGAGATCAATATTAATAAAAACAATCAGATATATAGACAAGTTAAGTCATCTATACTTACCCCATTCACAACCGTTGGCCGAGAGTTCGATTGAGGTTTAGACGGGGCATAGGCAGCTGACCCAGAGCTCTTCTTCTTCTGCAAAAAATAAAAATGTAAATCAAATTTAGAACAATGATCATTTCAACCAAAGATTCAAAAGGACGGTACAAAGAAGTGTCCCAAGTGTTCAGGATACCTCAAAGATGAATTTTTATACAAACAATATACTACTGCTACTACTACTAAAATTAATACTACCAGAACTATTATCAATATTATTATTAAATCCAATTGCACTAACAACATTAAAAATGGAGCTACAAGCTTTAAATCACCCAACCAGATCAAAATCAAGGCATTGGTGGTGTGCAAAATACGAGACATTAAGGGTGTGTTTGTTTGGGGGTTTGGATTTTGAGTTGGGATTTGAATAGTAAAAATTTTGAATTTGAATAGTTGTATGATGTGATATAAATAGGTGTTGATGTGATGTTTTGAATGTAAAATTGATTTTTAATATAATATAAAAAATGAAAAATAGGTGTTTGATTTGATATTTTTTTAGGGAAAATTTTGGATGAATAGTAAGATTTTCTCTAAATCCTACAAACGAACACACCCTAAGAGAATTGACATATCTACAAAATAAACTCAAAATTACTATTCCTTACGTACAGTAGTATGAGATTTAGTAATTTTTGCTGCCAAATCAGGATTCTCCAGCAAGGATCTGCTTTCTTGAATCACTCTCTGAGCAATAACAGGTTGTGAAGGACCAAAAAAGGAACCATAGCTGCAATTACACAAGACGTTATCAGAAACAAACTTTAAACTTTCATAAATAGCCATATTGCAATAGAATTATAGAACTCACTTGTCTTTGCGCAATGTACTTGTTTTGTCACGATAACTTGCATTGGTCACCCCCGCTTCCTTCTTCATCTGCTTTCTGATCGACTCTTTTAGCTTTTGCCTTAATGCAAGATATTCTAGCTGCTCCTGTGTAGGCTGCTCAGGTTCTTCATATCCATCATCACCACCTTCTTCTTCATACTCATCACCATCCTCTTCATACTCATCCCAGTTTTCATACTCCTGTCATGCATCAAAAAGAAAAAAACACAAGATGAGAATTGAAGAGGTTAAAGTGTCAAAACTCAAAAGAGATTCTGTTACACAAACAATTAAAATTTGTGAGTTTAATGGTTGCTTACATCTCTTGCATATCCCCGCATTGCAGTCATAATCCTTAGACAAGAGCGGGAGATATGGACAGTGGTTGCAAAGAAACCAAGTCCAAAAACCTGATGGAATCATTACAAAAGCCATAAATTATATGTCCTTCAGAAATTTTTTTTTCTTTGCAGTCATTCATCTAAAAGACAACCAAAATCATAATTACTTCGAATTCAATAGTAGAATATATTTCTTTAATAAAAATGTATCAATCTTTACGCAAAAACATTTGCTCATATATATTGGAAACTTCAAATTCTTTATCGCGAACAATTGGGTTTTGCTTGATTTTAATTTCAAACGCATTTCATCACTATTCGCCCTCCACGATTTCAGATAAAAATACTCTAACGATCAAATCAAGATAATATTAAAACCAAAACTCAATCTCAAATCAAAACCAAACCAACCCACTGATGTTTGCCATTCGACGAGGAAATTCGCCAATATTCCTAACGATCTTCAACAATGATGCATATACGGTGAAAATCGCGAGAACGCCATTTTCCCCGATGACAATCCGAAAAAAGAAAAAAAAAAAAGTAAAACTTCGCGGAAATCGAATAAGATTACCTCAAAATCAAGGAACCACCAAAATCAGAGCCACGGAGCGAGGATCTGAAAACGACTACGGATCTGAACCGATGGCGTCAAGGCGATAGGGTTTGATGAAAATTCGGTGAAGAAATCCCAGCGCGCAATTGCGTGATAATATAACCTAGGGCAAAAATCGAAGTCTAGAAAGAGAGGGGCTGTAGCTAACGCGCGCCGGGAGATTACTATAGCGAAGGCTGCCCGATGGCCATGCCCCTAGTGTATATAGAATTTATTCCCTCCTTTCCCACATCATTTTTTTCATATTTGTTACATATAATTTGTTTTTTTAAAAAAAATATATATAATTATACACTATAATTATATTTTAAATTTTAAATTATTAAAAAATTTAATTCTATTTAGTTATTTTAATTTTAATATATAATTATTGTTACAATATTTTTACTAATATTTTATTTCGTAATTATATTTTACCTAAATTCTAGTATCTACGATAATAATGCGCTCATATTACATGGGAAGAAGGGGGGTAGTTTTGAACTTAAATTCAACGAAATGTAAAACAAGAATTTTGAGTAATTTTGAATTTTTTATTTTTATTTTTGGATTAATTGTAACTATTTTGCATTTTTATTAATTGTACAATTTGATTGGGTAAATTATTTTGTACTTTCTTCGTCTCAAACAAGGTGCAATATTTGTTTTTAGCACAGATTTTTAGGTGGGTAGTATTAAGTAGGATAATTTAGAAATTATGTGATGTGATGGAGAGAGAAATATATATTTTATTTTTTTTTATTTGGATGATACGATGATATAAAATATGGGTAGAGATTAAGTATAATTAATTATTTCTTATTTTAGAAATTTTACGGAGTGTTCGGGACATACCAAAAAAAAAATGTTGCAGGTGTTTGGAACGGAGGGAGTGTTATTTTTTCTTCAGCCGTGTACTCTAAATTTGTTATAATTTTCTGGTTTTTTAGTAAAATCATAATGATTTAGGTTTATATATGAAGTTGTATTTAGTTTATTTCTTTCAAAGAATATAGTACTCTTCCTTCTCAAAGAAGGTGCAATATTTACTTTTAGCATGAGTTTTTAGGTGGACAATATTAAGTAGGATAATTTAGAAATTAAGTAATGTGATGGAGAGAGAAATGTATATATATTTTTTTTTATTTGGATGATGTAGAGGATAAAGTGTGGAATAAGGATTAAATATGATTAATTATTTCCTATTTTGGAATATTGCAGGGTGTTTGGGATATTAAAAAAAAAAGAAATATTTCAGGGTGTTTAGGACTGAGGGAGTATAAAATTTTTATATCATTGTTATATGATATAAAAAAGCGAAATTAATCAATAGTTGAACTTTGGATAATTGTTTAAAATGACGTGATGTTTTTTTTTTCAATTTTTTTTATAAAAAGTTAAATTTCATTTTTGTAGTCTTAGTGATTGTGTTATATTTCGTATGAAAATATAAAAATTTGCATATATAGCCTCTATAATTTTTGGCTCAGTATTTTAGAGAAGTAAAAATCAAAGACAACGATTTTCACCTGTTGGTATGTTTTGATTTAATTTCATTTGTTTTTTTTCTAATTTTTTTTTTATTTTAGTAAAAAATATATATTATCGCTAATAAATTCAATTGAGTTATAAAACAATATATAAAAATATATTATCACTAATAAATTCAATTGAGTTATAAAATATATAAAAAAAAAAAGTATACATACATTTTAACTATTTTATTTTTTTTAGTTATTCATTTGTTTTTTTAGACAGAGGGATAAAGTATAAATAAAGGTAAAATGACTAAATTAATCCCGTTAGTATTGTATGATATAAAAGGACTTAAAAAAAAATATTTTGTTATGGTACGGACAAAATAGAAAAATAGATAGATTGTTAAGGGACGGACGTAGTATATATTATAAAAATATATTATCACTAATAAGTTCAATTGAGTTATCCGTAAGCTTAGCTTGCTTATTTCTATAAATGAGTCCAATCGACTTTGGCTCGTGAGCTATTCGATTAATTTAACAGTTGTAAGAACCTAAATATCTTGCCTTCTCAAAAAGTCTGAACATCCTTCAAGCACAGAGCATTAATTGCTGCTATTAACATTTCTGTAATTCCCTCTACAAGATGAGTATGACTATGCCATGCCAGACAACCTTGTAGAGTTCATTTGAGATGAAGCCCATGCCACGAGCAAATGGGATCATATACTTCCGAGTAATAACTAGGGTTGGTCTTGACTTTTGATGGGCTCAAAACCAAACAAAAATAAAGGCACCGACCGCATCGGGCCGATGAAAATCCGGTGCAAACTCAATAACAACAAAAGAAATTGAAAGTTGAAAATATTATGTGTTCAATAAGTTTGAAATATTACTTTTGAAATCCAAATATAAAACAAAAATTATACTTCCTCTGTCCCTTAACAAATTATGCATTTTTTCATTACAATTTATAATATTTTTACACAAATATTAATATTGTTATATCATACACTATTAATAAAGTTATTTTATATCATATCAGTATAATAATATAATTTAAATTATGTGTAAAAACAAACGGATATATAATTAAATGACGAAAAATGAAAAATAGTTAAAACTAACAAAAGTTTGACGCATTAAGAATATATAATTTAAATTTTATATTAAATTAATTTTTTATATAATATTTTATCTTTTATTCAAGTTTATTCTTTCTTTTTTTTTTCTTTTGAATTGTCATAAAATAATATTCTCGCTTTACTTGTGGACAAATAATGTTAAGTCAAATTAATTAATAAATAATAATGAGCTCAAACCAAAACTTCCGCTCGTATATTCAAGTTATAAACATGAATGCAATAATATGATATTATGCTAGAAAAATAAAAAATTCAAAAATAAAAAATTCAACACATCATCTCCCCAAGTTCAATGCTCACGAGTGTTTGTAGATTTGTGTTTTAAATTAAATAATTGTTTATATGATATAAATACATTTTAACGTAAAATAAACTTTTATTAGTATAATATAAAAATTATTATTCAAATTAATATTTTTTTTTTAAAAAAATAAATAAATAGTAAAATTCTAAAAAGATCTCAAACATATTCGGAATGGCATTTACACGAGCTGTAGTCCTCAATTCACAAAATCAAATAAAAACCAATACTTAATTATTTGGACCATTTTGTACCTTTGGAACGAATGATATTCAAAGAAAAACTAACTATTTTTTTTTTCCATATTTACAATACTTAAAAAATCAAGTTCCGATCAAAAATAAAAACCAATACTTTTAGTAGGAAAGTAAACAAAACTTTACAACTATATCGCGAAAAGCCGAATCCGCTGTAATAAATTACTACCCATCATATAAAAACAGCCAAAACTGGGCGAGAAATAACACAAAAGAACTCACCGGAAAGCTCGGCGACAAAACATTTTCGCTGGTCCGGTCCTGACATTTTTAACAAACTGTTAGTCATCCAAATAATAATACGATCCGGCGGTCTTCTGCTCGCGATCCTTGGTTGAATCCAGTTTGTTGATTCGGGGGCGGTAATTAGTTGGGTCCCGTCTGAATGTTATATCCAGGTGCTGCGTCGAAATCAAATCAAATCAAATACGACGTAAGAACTAACGAATTGGAATTAGAAGCTGATGCTTACGGATAAGAAAAGATTCATTCCGGTTAGTAGCGACTGCGGTGAATTGGCAATGCAATCTAAGGACGGCTGCCCTTCGTACACAATCACTCTGTCGGCGAGATATGTTGCCATGATGAAATCGTGCTCGACAACAAATGCCGTCTTCTTTGCGTGGAGGATAAATCTTTTTATAACTTTTGATGCGACGATACGTTGCTCAGAGTCGAGATATGCACTTGGTTCGTCTATTAAATATATGTCGGCCGGCTGCAAGACACCAAGCCAGTGAAAGTTGATATTAGTGAATAATAATAAGATAAAATTGCTCATAACTCTCCTGTCGTTTCGAAATTCTGTATAAAATCTCCTTATACTTTAAAAATTGTATGACATCCCTTTATATTTTCAAAAACATTGTATGAAACTCCACCACCATGTAACCTCCCTTGTGTGATGAGAAGATTTCATATCTATATGTTTTGTATAGCGGGGGGTTCATGCAATATTTTTGAAAGTATAAGGGAGCGCCGTGCAATTTTTTAAAATAGAGTAGAGATTTACACTGATTTTCGAAACCACAAAGGGATTTCATAGAATATTTTTTAAAGTATAAAGAGTCGTTGTGCAATTTTTAAGAAGAGTGAAAATTTACGCTGAATTTTGAAACCACAAAGGTGTCATAGGCAATTTTGCTTAATAATAATAATATAGCACAAATCGAAACTAACTATCAACATCTTTATACATATATATATATATCATTTATCATTCATTTTCTTAAAAATATTGTAAGAATCGTAACAAACAAAATCCTGTTATTACTAATGAAGGAATTGGCAAGACGAGAATATTTATATGAAAAGACATGTTAACCTTTCCGAGACAGAGAGTCAGGGCAACCCTTTGCAATTCTCCACCAGAAAGATTCACAACCTCTTGATCCATCAATTGTTCCATTAAGAGAGGCTTCATCACATCCGAGACAAACTGAGGATGCATGTACGAATCTCGGATTTTTTGATGTAACAGCATTCTAACAGTAGACTGAAACTTGGGGCTGATCTTCTGTGGCTTGTAAGAGACATTGAACTCGGGGACTTCAACATCAGATCCTTCGACTGAGTCAGGTTTCAAAAGGCCAGCCTACCATTAAGACGAGCATTAGTAATTTTTAAAACAAACAGATTATCAAACATATATATATTATATTATATATAATATATATATATACCAGCATTCTGATAAACGTTGTCTTCCCTGTCCCATTTTCACCAAGCATCACAATTATTTGAGAGTCGGTGAATTCCCCCTCCATGACCTTAAGCTTGAAGTTGCCCTGGGTTTTCGTCATGGTTGGATACTTGTACCTTGCATATGTCTCGATTTCTTCAGCACTTTCTTGGGGAGTCTCAGCAACCTGGAAAAGGAAGCTAGTTATTGTCAAAATCTCAATCAGCTGGTTCTTTCCACCAAATGCAATTGATAATATAAATTGGATTTACCTTAAATGTAAGTGATTCATCCCGAAATCTTAGATTCTCGGTCGGGACAAATCCAGCAAGAAATATATTAA